GAACTCACAGTTGGAGAGTAAGTGTTTTATTTTTTCCCTTATTTCTTCCTAATAGGCTATTGTAATGCCATAAATTTTTTCATATGATAAACTCTTATCTCCTAAAGTCCTCTACAGGGAAATTATACATTTTTCTTTCTTTTCTTTTGTTTTTCTTAATTTTTTTGAGAGAGTTTTTTTCTTTAAGGCACTTGCTGGAGAGACAGAGAGAGACAGTAAGGCAGAAAGTGAACAATCAGCCCCTGGGAAATATGGCCGCATCACAATCCCTTCTCCTCCATTCTCCTTTTGGGATTTTGGGCATGTACGCACACACATGTACATGCACCAAGCATGAGATTTAAGCTACCAGGTCTGGGACTTGAACTGCAGTCAACTACATAGGAATCCAGTGATGAAACCATTACACCATCTGCTGGTCCCATAAATTCTTCTTTCTTTGACTATGTTAAGATTAGCTTTGTTTAAAAAAATCTATCTTTGTTAATTTATGAGACATTTTGTTGTCCAAGTTTTAATCGGTTTGTTTTTCTATAGAACTGTATTTCTGGTAAAGAACTTAGACAATTCAGTACACATTTCCAGAATAACCAGGGAAGCAGGTTTTGAATGTTCACAATATAAAATATTATTAAAAGTAGAAGGTAATAAGGGACCAGCAGACGGCATGATGGTTATGTCGCTGGACTCACACATTATCGATCGTGGTTTGAGTCCTGGACTCAGCAGCTTAAAACTCATGGCAAGTGCATATATGTGCATGCTCAAGATCTTGAGACGAGAGTGGAGAAGAAGGGACTGAGGCATAGGCATCTCTCCTGGGGGGTGATTTCTCCCTTTCTGTCTCTCTGTCTCTGTCTCTCCAATGAGCACACCTGCCCTATAGCAAAAACCTCTCTCTGAAAAAGCAAAAAGTTGAAGGTAATGAAAAAAATAACAGAAAAGAGCTGCCAGGTCTCTAGGATGACAACAAATGTGACTGAATCCAAACCTTACAAAATAATTAGCAAAGAGGTTATTAAGAAGTAGCTGAAGAGAAGAGACATTTAAGAGGTAAAAGAATGTGAAGTTCTCTGCTAGGAAAATTATACACCTTCTATATGTATTTCTTTATATGACATTAAATTTTTCCTTCACCATGCTCACCTTCTACTGTGTAGTTTCTAGATAGGAGATGGATCCAAATTTGTGGAGCTTGAAAGTAGGAAATACATTTTCTAAAGTGTTTTTCAACCGACATAATTTTTAGCATGAATAGCTAACATAATCCAAATGTACCTATTGGGTTGTTGGAAAAGTCATGATATATTTTTGCATACAAAAACAGAAAAATGCGTCATGACTTTTCTGACGACCCAATCTATGGTAATATCGCTGACTTGACTAATATGCACTATATTCTTCCTGGGGAAACAAAAAAAAATCTTGTGTTCTTAACTGATTTGCTGTTGTTGTTTAGACCTATCAAGGTCTGAGAGAGGGGTATTAAAATCTCCAAATGTGGATCTGGCTCCAAGGAGCAGTGAGACTGCAGTGCAGGAGAAGTGGGTCCCAAGTGGTGACCGAGTTCAAGTTCCCCACCTGGCCAGCCTGGAGCACCAAAGCACGTGTTCAGGAGGCCAGCCCCGGAGGGACAGGACTGGAGAATGGGGGCCGAGCATGAGCAGACTCTGGAACATGCTCTTTCTTTCAAGTGTGCATGCGTGTGCTCTATGATGAACGAAGAGTGGAAACATCTTAAACATCTCCAGTTGTGATTGTGTGTGTGTGTGTGTGTATGTGTGTGTGTGTGTGTGTGTGTTTTCCGTTCTCCCTTTTAGTTCTAGCGAGTGCTGTTTTGAAACTAGGTTTGGAGGGCTTCACTTCACACTGAGGACTGTTAGGTCTTCATATTGATTTGATCCTTCTGTCACTCTAAAATGAGCTTTTTTGTTTTTCTTTCTGGAAATACTCTTCTTCCTGCCGTCAGCATTATCTAATATTAACACAGACATACAGATTTCTAACCCTTGATGTTTTCTTGGTATCTCACTTTTCCATCCTCTTTCTTCTTAACTACCTGTGTCTTTACACAGTAGGTTTCCTGTATTCAACATAGAGTTGGGTGTCCCTTTTTTATCTAGTGTAATAATTTTTGCCATCTAAATGCAAAGTTTGGTTCACTTTTTTAAAAGTTGAAACAAAATTCATATAACATAAAAGTAACCATTTGCAAAAACACAATTCATTGGCAGTTGGCGCATTCACAGTGTTGTGCAACCACTACCTCTAAGTAGTTCCAGAGCACCTTCATCACTCTGTACTCATTAAGCAGTTATTCTCCGTCCTCTCCTCCCTTCCTGCTGGCAAGCAGTTATCTGCATTCTGGCTCTTTGAATGGATTCATTCTGGATAGCTTTATCAATAGGCTCATCCATATGTATTCTTTCATATCCAGTGTCTTTCACCTAGCATAATATTTTAGGGTTCATCTATGCTGAAGGATTTATTTCTACTTCATTTCTTTTATTTAGTTATTTTTTTTAGGTTCTTGCCACAGGGCACACACACTTGCCAGAGGGAGACAGAGAAAAGGAAATTGAGAAATCACCTTCCCCTTCCTGGGGGATAGCCATGCTGCAATCCCTTCTCTTCCATTCTCCTCTGGAGATTTTGGGCAGGCAGACACATATGCCTGGCATGATTTTTGAGCCACTGGGTCCAAGACTCAAGCCATTGTTGGATACATGGGAATCCAGCACCTTCACCACCACGCCACCTGCTTCACCAAGACCCCAGTACTTCATATCTTCTGACGGCTGAATAATACTCTATTGTTAGTACACACCATATTTTGTCTATTTATTTATGTGCCGCTAGCTATTTGAGGGTTTCCACATCTGGCTGTGTACAGTGCTATACAAGTGTACAAGGACTTGTTTGAACATCGGTTTTCAATTCCTTTGGGTATGCACTCAAAGATTCCAGTGTAAGAAGGACTTGATATGCCCTTATTGACTAGAAATGAAGAGGCCAGGTATCAAGGAAACTGGGACTTTAGTTCTACAATTTCAAGTACCTGGATTCCGCTAACAACGTGCATAAACTTGAAAGCAGAATCTTCCCATGTTTCCAGAGAAGGGTCCAGTAGACCAGCACCTTGGTCTTGGCTTGTGAGGCCTTAGGCAAGAGGACTCAGCTGAGCCATACGATGCCTGGAGTGGGGACTCACGGGATTAGGAGACAACACAGGTCTTGTCTTAAGTCACTGAATTTATGGTAACTTGTTATGGCAGAAATAGGGAACTAGGGTAGTGTGTGGCTGATCAATTTTTTCACATGACCCATACAGGAATTTTCAAAAGAAAAATATTGTTTATTCTGAATGGTGAATAATACTTTAGAATATTTATTATACTAGCTAATCAGATGTTTGGGGTGAGGTATAAAGGGACACCATCACAGTACCAACAGCATTGCAAAATCATGGTCTCTCCAGTACAAATTCCATCTGTCTCAGGGCTGTCTGGTTAACCCTAGCGTAAATCTAAAGCACATGTCATCTTTCTTCCTCAAGATCTCACTGTAGTGGGAAAATCGAATCTATAATTAACGTCAGAGAACTAGAGTATCTTATTCCTCAGGTCTACCCATGGATAAACAGAGTAGGTCAATAGTTACAATACACATTTATTTTGCAAAAATAGTGATCGTGAGTTGTATATATATATATATATAT